CATCACTGACTCCTATCCATCCACCCATCAACATGCACACTGAGGTTGTGGTGTAGGTACGGATATTCTTGAGGTCAGCAATCATATCCACATCCTCAAATTTTGTATCCCTAAAATGCTAAGGTGTAATGATGAGGAATTCAATGTTCTTTGGAAAATCATATTTTGGTTTGTTTAGACCTTATCGACGAAAGGGGCTATGTTGACATACGGCGATGCTTGTCATCTGAAAATGCTGTCGTTCATCATACGAGGGATCAGTCTACTTGGAACGAAAACCAAATGGATCTTCTGCAGTCATTATTTAACCTGTTACAAGGATATTGCCAGCAAACGTCAGAAGAACTGGATCTATCTTTCAATACCATTATTGAAGAGCAATTATCAGAGGAAATGTTAATTAACATGGTATTCAGTGGTCAACGTGTAGCACCATATGTTGTTGATAGTTTGAAACGATATCATGCAATTAACGATATTCATGAAGTTTTACCAAAATGCACATATGAAAAACTTAAAACTATCATAAAAAACAATGTTGACTTATACAGCTCATTTATGAATATGATCGAAAATGTAACAACACGGATTTTGTTGATAATAGCAATTGAAAGTATGACATACGATAGTCAACGACATTTAAGTCATTTCATTAAGCGTAATGATTTACCAATTCCATTCTCGTATTACTCATGGAACAATATCACCAACAAAATAGATTATAAAATTAATTTTAATTGCATTCTCGAGCCGTTGTGCTTAACGAAGGACCATCTATGTTTACAGATAGGAAGTGATTCTGCCATAGGCATGGGTAAATCAAGTCTTTTACCCTATATATTTACAGACAAACGAAAACAGTCACTGTCTACAAGTGCTACTGACGCTGCATATCGTAATTCATGTATTGACGTTTTATTCAGCAAACTACAGTTGAAATTACAACCAGATATCTCTGCCAGTATAGCACCTTACATTATATTCGATGTGCATGGACAGGTAGACAAAAACAAAAATTTATTATTAATAAAGTCGATTCAATTATACGCATCTGTGCAAATGCTGTATATTACAAAAAATGATTTTCCTCGTAGTAGTATTAGCAAGAACGGTGATGAAAATGATTTTCTCTTTCGTTGCATGAATTATTCACAAGCATCATCCTCTGTCACAGCAACTATTGTGATAATTTTTGATCAAGATTATGATAACCAAATAAAAAGTGGCGAACTGGTAAATCAATTTGAACAGTATTATTCGAAATATCAGTGGTCAAATATCTACTGGACCACCGCACCACCACTTGACAGCGCATCAATCCAAAGCATTACTGAATTTAAAAAAAAAACCCGCACACAACGTTTAATAGAACAATTCTCTGTTATATTTGGTAAAGTACATGTCAAAGCTCAGGAAAAAAAAGACCTCCTATTTCGTTCATCTTTTTCTATTCAAACCATGTATTATCAACTGACTGGCAATCAAAAATCCGACTATGAACGATTGAAGCGAAGTGATATCAAATTCGAAACTGAGGAAGAATTAAAAGAATTATTTGAAAAATTATCCGACGATTCAGATAATTTGAAATTAGTCACACCAATGAGTTATTATCAATCACAACTGGATAATATTAAAAAAAAATTAGAAGCGATGCCTCCTACAGCATCCGAAAAATCAGAATTAGAAAAAGGATTAGAGCAAATAAGAAGTGAAAAAGAATCAAAATGTAAACTAAATTCTTATCATAAATTTATGATTCAGCTATTGCATAGCCGTACATACATGGATTTATTGATAACAGAAATGTATTTAGAAACATGGAGAAATAAATATGTTCCGCATTTAAAAGAAAAGCGAGAACAACTTAAAACAGGAAAAGATGAACATTTGAAAATATTGCATAAATTACAGGATAAGGTTTTAAAAAACCACACAGATATTGAAAGTAAAAACGAATTAGGACGAATACTTTCAAAAAATGATGAGATGAAACAGAAACTCATTAAACTCGATGATAAATTGACAAACGTGGATTTAACCATTGGACTAATGTGTGACGAATTATATGCACTTTGCGAGCAATTGTATGATGCTCCGCCATCGACCATACCAGACTTTCACATCGTATTCGATAAGATAGCAAAAAATATCGCCAACTTAGTTTATAAAGGGTTTGCTATCCATGTTCTACGCCATCGACCACTGGTTTGTCAATCACATATGATGGCTTCGGCTATTAAATATTTAGGTAAAGCTGAAGCAGAGGGCCCAGTCATTGTTTTGACTGTGGTAGGTGAGCAATCATCTGCTAAATCATCCTTATTAAATGCTACATTCGGTGCAAATTTTCGTGTGAGCGCAGGACGATGCACGATTGGCATCTATCTTGGTAAGTTAATAAACACGTTTTCTGTAAATTTGTCTACGATCATACTTAATACGTGTTCGTAAAATCCTACTTATACACTGATTTGTAATAGTAAAAACTCAAAGTAAATCACCTAACATGGTTTGAATTTATCAAAAGTAAACACATAATATTGGAAAACCTCGTAGAGTACTCAAAGAGAAATTCTTTCTATGTATTTTCAATCTCTAACGCGTTTTTAATAATTTAACATTATTTCGTACCTAGAAAAGGTATCCGATGACGCTTTTGAAAAATGTGATATTGCACGCTTTATATATCGAAAAACAGTGGTTCTATGATCTCTTCTGAGCAATCATTTTTGTGCGGTAGAGACCGCTAAGATTTAAGTTCTCTGTCGCATATCTCTTTTTTTGACATTTTACTAGTACTAGTCAAAGTAAGCGTCCCGTATTAAGATACGCATTTCCTCAATCTCTTCAAGTATCGATTAACGTTACCGAAAGAAATAAGCCGTGATCATATCTCGCTAAGCTTCTTATCTAGGTCTTTCTCCATTCTGATTTTGCTTCATCCTCATCGCCCTTTTTATTCGGACCTCACTGTACCTTTACTATTGGTCTCATTTGAATTCCAGGTCTGGTTTCACTTTCGCCAGTCTTCTGCGCGATTTCTATCCTGAGTTCGCTCAAAACTTCCTTCGGATCTTGGCTCTGTCATTTCTCTGTATCATTCCAGATTCTACGCTGATTTCATCCCATTTCAATCGAGAAGGTAATGTTAATCCGTTTTGAGCCAGACTCACTGCGTCTATACCCATATGAAAGCTCCTGTAGTGCCGAGGATATGGATGTGGATGCGTGTGCGAAGTGTGGGTATGAATGATCATAGTACCGATACTCTGAAGAAAAAACAATTTAGAGTCTTCAAGCAGCCCCAGTGGTACGCTGTGATTACTTCTATAAATCCTCAAGTCGCATTTTGTACTCAATCAGTATCAACGATGAGTACATTATGCTTATACATTAAATAAGAATATTTCTGCAGAATTCACATTAATTTCTGTCTTATATGTGCTTTAGGCATAGCTTATTACAAAAATGTTACAATAATAATACAAGATAGCGAAGGGTTGATGTCCTTAGAGGAAAGCGGTACCATTTTCGATAATCAAATGATTACTATGGCTATTTTATCATCGCATCTCGTTATTGTGAACCACAAAGGTGAAATTAGCTCTAGTTTGGAAAGTTTAATTGGCATGTCATTATACGCAAAAATGCAAATGCAATCATTTCCAATGAAGCCCAAACTATTTTTTGTGCTACGTGATCAAATAAATTCCGACAAGAAAATTTTTCAGGAGCAATTGAATAAATTCAAAGATAATCTCAGAACTTCTTCAAGTTTTCTAAAAGTCAACATTGATGACGAGCTTGAAATAACATCGGATAACATTTGTCTTCTTCCATCCGCATTTTCAGAAGATATAAATCCAGATTTGGGCATCAAACAGCAATGGAGAAATTCAACATTTCCATATAACATTCATGATTTGCGTAAACACATTTTCGCCGGTCTCAAACAACATTCTAATTCATTCTACTCTGATTTCACGATGCTTTACAACAAAATGACAAGTAATTGGAAAACAATTGATGATCTAGGCCAAGGTCTGCTGGAATGCAAATCATTAGCTGAATTGAAAATAACTAATGAGTTAAAATCACTAACGCAGGAAATTTATGAAGAAAAGTCTAGGGAACTCTACGATAAGGGAAAAACGATGTTAGAAGACGTGATTCAGAAATGGAAGGATGATGATATCCAGACTCCATCTGATGTAATTATGAAGACATTGTCGGAAGAGGGAACACACAAACTGGATATTTTAACGCGGGATATTCTCAATGGTGCTCTTGAAAAGTTTGACGAAGCCACTCAAGCAGCTTATTATAGTGGTCTGAAAGCGAGACCTCGTGAATCCATTGATCCACTTATTCGCTCTACGCAAAACTTATTATACCAGCGATTTCAAGAAGATTTATACGACAAAGCCAAAACAAATGCTCAGTTAAGCTTACAAAAGCAAATGTTAAATAAATGCAATGAATTCTTCATTCAGAATATAAATAATGGAAATGCTGATTTTTCAACTTTGAAGGCAGAATTAGCCAAAAGACGGAAACAGCTGGAAGCCGATATAAGACAAAATTTGAGTTTATTGAGAAAAACACCTGATGAAATTCGAGAAACAATACTCAATATTTACAATACCGCTATCACGGCGCGTAAGGGTAATGCAGAAAAAACAATCTATAACCAATGTAAGGTATTATCTCCAGCAACATTTGAAGATGAGTGCCGTAATTTAGATAATGTTTTTCAATCAATATTTTCATATTTGAAACATCCAAAACAGCCTACGGGTAAATGGTGGAATAGTTTCTTTTCGCATAGTAAATGGGATACCTTTGCAAAACAATTACACTGGTTTAAAAAGTCAGATTCTAAGGACAATCAAAGAATCTTTATGGAAATCATTGAAGAAGTAGTTGAAAAAGTAAATCATAACGTTTCAGAGATGTTGTCAAGTATACAACTAGCCTACAACGATCAAGCAGTGATTATCGGTTTACTACAACATGTTAGCAACGCAATGCAATCTCAACAATCCCCGATTCAAAAATATTATAACGGATTAAATGTACCTCAGATTACGATGGATTTAGTACTCATTTCACTCCGATTACTCATTGATCAATCAATTACAATTACTAATCGTAAACATGAAGAATTAGAGAAATCAATAAATAAACTAGATGATTGGGAAAAGGAAATTGAGCAGCAATTTAATTTGATGAAAAATTCAACTGAACAAGCAACTAACTATCGCCGAGCATTGCAACAGAATATTATAAGTGAAGCTTTTGACCACTTCCGTCAAGTTACCATTAAATCGATCGATAAGTACATTGCTGAGAGGGATTTTTCGAATTCAACAGTCCTTGCAGAAGCTGCCTATGCGCACAGTATTCAAACAGGAGATGCAAATGAAATCATGAAATATGTCTCAGATATTAATCGTTACTATTTGGAACGCGCTTTAGAAAAAGTCAGACCATTTAGGAGTAGTACAATCGAGGGCAAAATGATAGAGTTTCAAGATGCGGTGCTAAATTGTGCCCGGATAGCATCTGAAGTTGTAGAAAAGCACGGTTCTCGTGACATCAGCGTTGTGCACAATTCTATTTCTACTTCTATCAAAAGAATTCTACCGAATTATAACGGAAACAAAATGATGGTCGTACAAGTAGAAATAACGAAACCAGATCAGTTTAAACAAAGCTTTAAAGCTATAGCAGGCGAAACAACAAAAATGCAAGAAAATGTTAAAGAATTGAAGAGTGAAATGGAAAAAGTGATTACGGAAGCATGCAAAACGATCGTTACTTCAGCTCTTGGTTGCGCCTCAATATGTCCAGGTTGTGGTACGAAATGTCAATTATCTAACCAACCACATAGCCACCACACGAGCAAGTATCATCTGGCGGGTGTGTTTCATGGATGGCGAATTAAGGGGGAAAATACACCATATTTAGTTCTATGTTATCAAAACTGGGCAACATCTGATGTGGTTGTTGGCGAAGAAACGATTCACCCCAAAAGCAAGTACTATAAGGACAGAGCCCCTGAATGGTTTCAAAACCTCAACCAAATGGCTAACTATGGTCCGGATAAAGATAATTCAATACCACCAGAGGATCAAAGAAAAGCTTGGATGAAAGTAAGAAAAACTATCGTGAAGAGGTTTGGATTAGTTGACCTACCGAACTATAGTAAAGAATATGACACAACCATCCAAAGTTCACCAGAGAATTTTGTCGAAAAATGGATATATGATTAACAACACCCAGCAGTTGTCAATGGATTCTATATAATGTGGTAATTTTTCCTTAATCTCGTCTCAAAACCCTTTCCAAAACCACTACCACAACGTTTTCGGTTCAGCTAATCTATGATTTCGTAATGTCTATATTATACAATCTTCATTTCAAAACAAATAAAAAAATATAACAACTTTAGTCAGTATATCTAGTTTCTATAGCATTATGAGTTCAATATGATCCACCATTTCTTATTAGGATGATCATTTTGAATCCGGTTTGATATGCTAGCTATTCAATAGATTCAGAATCAGCTGTTCATCCGCATTATGTGTGATAAGCTGTCATAACTGGTTTCATCTGTTCAACAAAGGGTGTGAGTGTGGGTGTCAGTTTGTGGGTATAGGTGTGGGTGTGGGAGTGGTGAAGTCGACATATCACCGTTACACGCTCACTCAAATTCACACTCGCATCCACCCACAAATATCCCAAAAGAAGTCCTTTTACAAATGAAAACTCACGTTTTAGTGTTAAAAGTTAATGAAAAATGCTTATTTATTTGTACGTTTTATGATCATCTAATGGTATTCATTATACTGAAAAGTTGGTTTTTCCCTGAGTTTGTTTACGCGAGTCATATGAGTATGACGATATAAGTAGCTTTCTTAACTTATAATATCAATCAATACAAATGAGACAATAATGAACGGGTCTCTTTCTCAGATAAAATGTCACAGCAAAATACGAACCAATGCAAAAGAGGAGAAAGAAAATGTATTACAAAAAAAACGTTTGTATATGTCTATACCATTATTCTTTAGCGATTGATCGCGATATGATTCCACGATCGTACAAATTCAGTTCCCTGAGTCTTTAATGATCTGAATTCCATTTTGCTTGCATTAGTTTGCATTTGAGATAAACATTGACTTTTTTCATTTCGCTCTTTAATAACAAACAACAACTATATAGAATCACCATATTTCGTTTTAAATAATAGCATTATCAACACTCAAAATTTCGATTTATATTTTATTTTAAATCGTATCATACATCTACAAATACCGCTGGTATTCAATGAATATATCTATGTCTCATCCAATGGTGTTGGCTGCCAAACAAATATGTATTTATTTTCTCTCACAAAATAGATTTTAACAAGTCTTTATATCAGCAGAGACCATCTTCTATTACAGTACCATTTTTACGTATTACCGAATGTCATAAAATATGCTTCATATACATTCCATACAAAAGATAAAACATCTAATAATATAATGATGTTTAATATGATTAAAAACAATACGAAAAGGTCTATAAAAATCTGTGATTGAGCTTTATTATAATTTCTTTTTTTATATACTTATCGCCATATAATAACTCCAGTCTAAGAAATTTTTTCGATTTTAATTTTTTATACACTCATAAATGTAAGATAAAACCTCCTCTTTCTTGTATGTTCTTCTCTTATTGTTCTAATACAAAGACACTCACGAGTGTATTTCATTTGAATGTGATATCCTTCGAATATCTCTATACATGTATACAAGGGCATTGCTACTGTCTCATTTTTATAATATTTGTAATACATAAATATATTCTTATCTTTTGCTCTACTTTGTAAGAACGAGAAAAAAGATACTTCGCACTCTCAAAATGATTCGTGTTGGTTTAGTAACTGGTGCTGCTCGAGGAATAGGACGTGCAATTGCTCTTCGTCTTGCTAAAGATGGTTTTAATGTCGCTGTTAATGATATCGAAGCGAGTTCCGGTGATCTTCAAAAAGTTCAACAAGAAATTGAACAACTAGGTCAAAGATCAATCGCAATAATTGCTGATGTTTCGGATAGTAAATCAGTCGAAAATATGATGCAAGAGACTGTCGAAAAATTAGGAAGTCTAGATGTATGTACTTTTTACTCTTTTCAGTTCTTTTATTAATTAATTCTATAGGTATTAATTGCAAATGCTGGAATTGGTGAAGTAAAATCGCTCTTAGATACGACTGTAGAAGATTGGGATAAAGTTTTTGCAGTAAACACGCGTGGTATATTTCTTTGTTACAAAGAAGCAGCTAAAATCATGATTAAACAAGGTAGAGGAGGAAAAATTATTGGTGCATGTAGCTCTGTTGCACATCAAGCATGTGCAATGATCGGTGCTTATTGCAGCACAAACTGCTGCTTTAGAATGGGCACCATACAATATTACAGTTAATGCTTATTGTCCAGGTATGTCTTAGATTCTCTTTTTTGATTATTAAATCTATTAAATTTTATCAGGACTTATTAAGACATCGTTGTCTGACAAATCTAATGAAGTTCTTTCAAAAATTCAAGGAAAATCAGTGAACGATATTGAAAGCGATTCGCTAAAAACAATTCCAATTGGTCGTGTAGGATATCCCGAGGATGTTGCAAATTTGGTTTCATTTCTTGCTGGCAAAGATTCTGACTATATTACTGGACAAAGTATTTTAGTAAATGGTGGACGAGAATTGTCTTAAATTTTAATTTATATCTAATATAAAATAAAAACTATTTCGGACTACATATACTAACCCACACCCTTACATGAATATATAGAAGTATAGTATTGACGTATAGAGAGAAAAAAGAAATGTAAGGTCATGTCTATCACAGGGTGAGAATGAGTGTTGTTCAAATCGAACCACAATGCAAAGATAGTCAGAGAATCAATGTAGGATTTTGTGCTTCATATTAATAAGGTTTATTCTTTCGATCGATTCATGTGTAAATAAATACTAGGATAAATTTAACTCTATTGTAATATTATTTTGTCTGATTTATGGAAGGAAAAAAAAAGAATTTTTGTATTAAATGGCATTTCTGTTAGCTTAAATACGATAATTAACGCATTAGCTTTTTTTTCTAATATGAATATATCTTTGTATTGCCATCATGAAAACTACTTATAGATACATAAATATCAATTATGTATAGTTTTCTGTAAATGAATGTCGATTAACTATGAAGTTACAAGGTGAGAACAATTAACAAGAATAGAATTACAATGAAGGTCTGATATATGTAACGTTAATCAAATCGAAATGTAATAAGAACGATTCTTTTTTTTCCCTATATTTCTCTAAAGAATATATGCATCTAATATTTTTACTGATACTTTCTATTTTTCTTTTATATTATTTATTTCAACGTAAGATTTACGTCGAAAAACATTCGTTAATTTTATAATAATTCTGATGAAAATAATCAATTGTTCAATTTCCTTTGAGAAATAATAAAAACAAAAC